AGTTATATATTGACCTTTTTAGCTGAATGATGTATGTTTGTCGGCTATTATAGTTTAGTATTAAATTTGAATGGAATATTATCCATTAATTAAAATTAAATGATTTGTAAATTAAGACAGAATTTAACAAAAAAAGGAATTTTCCAAAAATGTAATACAGACTTTTACTATTTAAAGTTGTAAAGCATAGTTAAGAAGAAAGATTGCTATTATGTTATTTAGCAAATATAATCAATTCCTTTGAACTATTTAATTAGACAAACCGATCACTATGAAAATTTGGATATACTTTTGCAGATAAATAGTATCTTATCGAATATCAAGTTGGCTATATTCTTACTAATAAAAAAAAAGATATTTCGAGCTGAAACAGATATATTAAACAAATTTTAGTCGAAGTTTTTGGTAATTTTATAATTGATATTTGCAAAAGTAATTGTAAAATTTAATTAATACTTTTTATCCACAATAAATTTAGTTGGGGTTTTCTATTTAAACACTATGAAATTTAGAATAGTTTTTTATTGATTTATTCTGCCCTGTACCACTTAAATTTATTTGAAAGCCATTAAAAAATTTAATATAATCTCTAAAAAGAAGAAACATTTTTGTTGAAGAAAATTAAAATATCCGGTTTAACTCAACTGATATTTAAAAAAAAAGATCATAACTATTTGGATTTAAATTATAAATTTGACTATGATATAAATAATCAAATATTTAAGATAAGGAGTTATCTATAATATCTTAAGTTAAGAAATTAATTCGATTAAAGACTTTTTAGAATCAATTCAGAAAGTAAATTTTCTTTAAATAATAAATTAATAAAATCATAAAAAATGAAATCTTAAATTGAGAATTTAAAGATGATGGTATTTTTTTAAATTCCAGATCCTTATTTTTAAGGATTTGAATCTCTAAAAAAGTAAATTGATTTAGAGAGCTTGAAAGCACTTTATAAAAAAGGATGTTTAGTTTTGATATCTAATTGAGAAAGTAAGATTTAATTAGATTAATTTTTTTTAATTATTGTGTAACAATAATTAAATATTATAACTTATTGCTTTTAAGCTAATTATCATAAAAATACTCTAAGTATGCTGACTTTTTAAGAAATATAATCTTAAGAAGGATGGTTTAATGTTAATGCTATTTTATAATATTTTATTGCTTAAAAGAATTGGTTCAATTATTCTAATGAAATTGCTAAATGATATTAAACATAAAACCTTTGTTAAAATAAGCATTAATATGATTTTGATCAAGAGAAATGGCTTTATCAAAGCAGATTATTGCTTGCTCATATTATTTCAATTCCTATAAGATAAGGCCTAAATTACTATTATGGAGATAAAACCTTTTCCAAAAAAGGCCTGAACATAATTTGGATCTAATTGAAATACTTGATTATAATCATTTAATGCTTCGTCATGCTTCCCTATATTTTTGTATAGTATGGCTAACAGATTAGTAATAAAAGTATTAACCTCTATTATAATAGGCTTACGCATTATTTGGATTAAGTTGAATTGTTTTATTTTAGTCATTTAATGCTTTGTCATACTCATCAATATTGACATATAATATGGCTATTATATTTGTTTAATATTATTCATATCTATTTTGATAGACTGCTGCATCATTTGGATCCAGTTGGATTGCTTTATTATAGTCGTTTAATGCCTTTTCTTTCTCACCGATATTGTAATATAAATGGCCTTATATATTGAGTGTAATAGTATTCACCTCTATTATAAAAGATTGTTGCAAAATTTGGAGCCAGTTGGATTGCTTTGTTATAGTCATTTAATGCCTTGTCTATCTCACCGATATCTGAATATAAATGGCCTTATATAATAAGTGTAATAGTATTCACCTCTATTATGATAGGTCATCACATTATTTGGATCCAGTTGAATTGCTTAATTATAGTCGTTTAATGCCTTTTCTTTCTCACCGATATTGTAATATAAATGTCCTTATATATTGAGTGTAATAGTATTCACCTCTATTATTAAAGATTATTGCAAAATTTGGATCTAGTTGGATTGCTTTGTTATAGTCATTTAATGCCTTTTCTTTGTCACCGATAATGGAATATAAAAAGCCTTATATATTGAATATAACAGTAATCACCTCTATTACGATAGGTTATCACATTATTTGGATCCAGTTGGATTGCTTTAGTATAGTCATTTAATGCCTTGTCTTGCTCACCAATTTTATAATAGAAATAGCCTTCTCTATAATATGTTTAATCACCTCTATTATAAAAGGCTAAACTATATTGTGGATTGATTTAAATTGCTTGATTGAAATCTCTTAATGCCAAGTCAGCTTTTTGTCCATCCATATAAAAGCACCCTTAAAAATAATTTTATTTTACCTCGACATATAAATGCATTATAACAATTACTATCTTTCTATATAGCCTAATTGTAATATTCGAGTTCCTTATCTATTTCTTTCAAATCCCACATAATCGTGCCTAAATATTTATTGTTATTTTGTTACCTAATCTACAATACCCCATAGCAAAGTTTTTATTAATCTAAACACACTTCCAACAATCGTTTAAAGCTAGATTCAATTATTTTTATCTCCAATAAATAGTTGCTTAAATTATAAGATTTAATTTATACCTCTTTAATAATAACTTTCTGCATTATTGTTGTTTATAGACAAGCTAAAATTAACATCTTACAAAGCCTTATCATACAATTCCATTTTGTAATATAATTCACCTAAATTGATAATTAAAACAATGAACTTCTTAAAGTGTAGGCTTCTGCATATTTAGGATTAAGATTCAAAGCCTTGTTTATTTCTAAAATTGCTTCTTCAGTTCTGTAAGCAATTTTAAGCTCCTAAAAATGATTCTATTAAATAGTTTACATTGCTTCTTGTATAATGCTTAGTAGCACTAGCACTGTGATTATCTTTTTCCTTTTAAATATTGTTGCCCATATATATTTTGAGCTGTATCAAAATTTTTGCTAATAAATAATTAATAAACTTTAAGGAATTCATTACCTGATAAATTGTCAAAGTTCTATTTAACAAAATTTGATATTTCACTTTGATAACCTTTAAAAAGTTTTTTTTTGAACTAGAAATATTTTTGAAATTGTTTTAAATATTCAAGCTCTTAATGATTGTTTCTAAATTTATTGATAAGTTGTAATATAAAATTAAAAAACTACATTTTAAAATTAATGCAGGATGGCTCAAAAAATATCAATTACTTATCAAATTATTTTACATATTTTTAATGAATAGGAAATAAGATTAAATCTTATTTATATTCAGTTAATTTTATGATTAACAACATTATTTATTACAAAAAGTTTGTTGTCAAAAAGTTATTATTTTCGAGAGATTCTGATTAATACTTTATATAAATACAAATAGGCAATATTAGTTGCTGAGACTTGATGTCTATTTTGATAAAATATAAAACTTCTTTTACAATAATTCACTAAGTTTACTATAACAGTCATCAATAATGTTTACTTCTAAATAAAATGTAACTTGTAATTAATAGAATAAAATTATTCTTTTTAATTAGCAATTAATCAGCTAATCGAAGAAGACTTGAGAAAAATATGGTTTTTACAATGAAATTCATTATTATTCATTGTTAATTTACATAATTACGAGCCTTTACACTTGAGTTCTATTGGTTTGCTTATTAACCTGAGCCATTCTCTATAATTAAGTTAAACTACTTTTTAATCTTCTTTTGATAGGATGATCTATAAATTATATTTAAGTATCTAATAAAGTTCTAAATCAATGCTGTCTAAAATAGTACTAGACATTATGCTATCAACAAAAAATATCCTTACTATTATATATTGAATTGTAATTAATAAGAAAGTTTGAGAGAGGATCCTTTAAAAAATTATAAATTACCTTTATGAATATTAAATTGCATCTCTATAACATTAGGTATTAGAGAAAACTCAAGTTTTAAGCTTTTTTTTAACATTTTTACACAGCTGTTACCATTTCAATCCCTCAATCCTTTTTTGAGTAGCGCATGGAATTCATGGATTTCTAAACTTACTTTCTCAAACTAACACTAAAAGATTATCAAAACTATCTTTTAATTTTGACTTAATTTTCTTAAAATATACAAAAAAATTATCAATAATTTAATTGTTTTTAGATTATTTTTAATTTACTTATCTTTTAGTTAAATAAAATTTTATATAATATTTTAGTAAAATAAAATTTTTATAAAATATCTCAATTAAATCAAGGAAACAGATCAAAAAAAAGATCTTTTAGAAACATATCGCATCTAATAAAAAGGGCAAAAAAACATCATCATGTAATAGGTTAACAAAAGTAAGAATCCAAATTTAATTCAGTCAAAAAACTAAATTTTATTGTAAGTAACCTTTAAGGGCTCTTATAAAAATTAGACAAAAAAGATTAGAGGAACAATTAAATATTTAAAAATTCTTAATTTTTCACAACCCAATTCATCCCACCAAGGTGCAATAAGAGTATAAAACTGAATATCTTTTATCTTTAAAAATATAAACAAAATCAACATTTTTGAGACCTGAATAACAGCCAGCTATAGCATCTTTACTAGTTATAAATTTATAGAACAAAAGATTAATAATTATCATCTTCACCTAATTATTTAATAAGATAAAATTTAATTAACTTAATTCAAGAAATTTTTTTTGAATCCTGCTTCAGAGTAGTCTCTAATAGNACTGTTTACTACAATTATATATGATATTAATTATTTATTTTTCTCATTCATAAATTTTCTCTAAGCATAAGCATAAGACTTTCATAATCTTAAATTTATAAATATATATGGAAAATATAAATTTTTATTATTTAACTAGTTATATTATTGCTCAGTTTTCTTTTTTGCAGTTCTTCGCATCCATAATTATCTGTTGAATTGGCTTTCTTCAATTTATTTACTTTCAGCTTAGTTTTATAATTTTTCTAGCCAATTATAAAAGATATCTGTATTTTCAAAATTTAGATGCTGTAATATAATGTGCCATAAGGGAATCTTTATGGAAGTAGTTAAGTGAGGAATATCTTATGAAATGAAATCTTTATGCATACCTGTAATTCTTCCACTTAATGAGTGAGCCAGTACTTTTAAAAATATTGGATCATTTATTGAGGCATTTTCTTACTTCTAATGATTTAATAAAGTGAAAATTTTTTGTCTTTATTAATGAGCGAGTTTAAGGTGAAGGAACTTATGTTACATGTAGTTAGGTTTAATTTAATTTTTTGGTATTTATTATTCATGGAGAGTTAAGGTTTTAATGATATTCCCTCCATATTATTATTTTTTCCTATCTATTTTTCTTAGGCCATCTTGATTTATGTTATTTATTTTATGTTGCTGATATTTTTAATAAGATTTATATTTGTTCATTTATATAATTGAGTTAATTGTTGCAACAAATTGTGAAGATTCTATTAGCACAATTATATATTCTTAAATAAGAATTGATTAAAAATACCAAGTTTACAATATAAAAGGAGGTTATACTTAACGAGACATTACCAAATGTAAAATGATAGAAAAGACAAAGATTAATTATTCTTAAAGATTTAAAAAAGAATGAGCACATGATGAAGCAATATGTAATCAAATAATGTTTTATTTGGTTATATATCTTAAAAATTATGAGTTTTTAATAAATCTAAAGTTAATTTTTTGCTTTTTATTATTTTTATTTTAATAGGTGGAAGATAAATCACTATTTTATATCTTGGTTAGATGTGACTAGAAAGAAAATCTGGAAAATAAAACTGAATGTTAATAGATTAGTGATGATTTAGTCTATATTAGCTATGAAGAGTATTAATTAGTAGAAGTTTCTTGAATTTTGGATCAGATTTAAATAATATTAAAAAATCATAAAATCCTATTTTCTAATAATTTAAATTAATTTAAATCAATTAAAAATAATATTAGTTTTTCTTTTGATATCATAATCTAATAATTAAATTCAGTATGTTTAAAGAGAAAATGATCTAATAACTAAAATTATCTTGGAAATGTTTACAACAGGAAAAAAGTTTTTATTTAAATAATGAGGGATTTTTCCTAGTTATGAGCCAATTTTATATACTGTTCATGAGGCAACTGCACTTAATGGTATTTCACTTAATGAAATGAAAGAATAAATTATTTATTTGTTAATCTATAGAGCCACTATCATTCTTCTTTTATGGTTCACTAACAATCTTGACTTGATACGGTGAACTAAAGAAAGAAATTGATAAAAAAATTTGGCTGATCGATCTTATGTTAATGATTTTCGGCAGTTGTCTTTTGTTGTACTAATTCAATGTTGATAAATTCTAACATTGACCATTGCTGAAAAATTTCCAGTATCTTCCTGACTTTAAGGGAATCATTGATGAACTATTAATGAATCAAAAAGGAGCTACTTGGCCTCCTAATTACTATTTATCGAGAAAATTTAGAAGGATATACATTCATACCTTTATCGATAGAATTTTTTCCTATCATGTTTTATTCTTTAAGATATCGGATGATTATTTATATTTTCAGTAAGATCATGGCAAAAGACTTTAATAAGGCTTTCTTTAAGGTTTGCAGAAAATTAAACTTAATAGTGATCTTTTAAGAAATATCTAACATCACCAAGAATTATAAAATTCTAAGAGATATTAGAACTCGAAATATGATGATGTAGATCAAGGAATGACAATTATCCAATATAAATTGTTTTAAGGGCTAGATATAAAATTTTGCTTTACAATCAGAATTTGAAGTTTTCACTCCAAAAAACCTCACTATGTATGTTTAATTCGAAAGATAAATAAAGGAAGTGAAAATTGAGAATGCCTATTTATTAAGGTGTTCCTGTCATACCTTTCTGTACTATTTGTAGAATTAATTCATAAATGTTTTAGTAGTATGTTTAATTCATATCTGATGGTATTAATATTTGTGCTATTCTAAATAATTAGCCAGTCTGAAATTTTTTTAACTCTCTGAAAAATATTGGATACTATTCTGATATTCCCTTACGGTATAAACGATAGATTTTGTATTCTTACTTTTATTGAGGAGAAGTGAAACTTATAATTTTGATTTAAACAAACCTTCGGTTTCTTTAGGTGATGTCCTAAAGTTGTATAAACTATAAATCTAATTTAAAAAAATATGTTTTTTAGGACAACTTTAAGATATATAATGATGTTTATGATTCAGGCTATTTAATTTACTATAGAAACAGCATCTCAATTGAATAAAATATTTACATATTATTAGTACTTTTTTGCACACGATTGGAATCATTAAGGGAATGAAGTTCAAATTATTTGATTTTAACTTTAGAGTTTATTGAATTATCTCTAAATTAGTATTTTTTCAAATCTCTCTACTACTTATTTTATTACTGAGTATGAACTAAATTATAATTATATTTTTATTACTGAGTATGAACTAAATTATAATTATATTTGTTGTAATAGTTGTTGTTCAAATTGAAATAATTAAAAAATTCTTTTTATTTATCTTCAAATATTTTTATTAGTTTTTTATTTCGTAATATGTAGATCTTCTTAAAATAATGGAAAGTGTTTTCAAGGACTTTCTTCCTAGTTCACTAATTTTATTAGAATCATTCTAAAATTATAAATGTAAATATATAAATAATAGAACTTATAAATAAACTTAATAATTGTTATTTATAAAATTTTTGAAAGAAATTCTATTTTTTAAATATCTTGAATTTAACTAAGAAGTCACTATAATACATAATTTTTCTTATTTTCAAATGATTTATATAAATCTTTAAGTTAATTAGTACAAAGTATTTTTAAATGAAATTAAAATATATTATTTCCCAAAGGGGGTTAATTTTTATATAATATAATGAAAGAGTTATAAAAAATTCCTAAATAAATAATGATTTCTAAGGAAGATATTTTGAAGTAAGGTACTCATCTAAAACTATAATCAGGAGTTCTATTTGAAAATCAAGGAAAAATAGAAGAAGCATTAAAAAAATACGAAGAGGCCATCACATAGTATCCAGATTATGCTGATTCGTATATAAAAAGAGGTAACTAATAATATAGTAACATAATTAGCAAATATATTCAAACAACAAGGAGAAATAGACCTAGCATTAATTGACTACAACGAGGCAATTAGAAAGAATCAATAATTTGCTGAGGCTTATATGCACCGAGGTATCTCATTTAGTAATATTATTAGGAATTCTATTTAAACAAAAAGGAGAAATAGAACTAGCATTAAATGACTACAACGAGGCCATTAGATTTAATCCAGAATATGCTGATGCTTATATTAATCGAGGTATCTCATTTAGTGAGATTATTAGGAATTCTATTTAAACAAAAAGGAGAAATAGGCCAAGCACTCAAAGACTACAATGAGGCCATTAGAGTGAATCCAAAATATGCTGATGCTTATATAAACCGAGGTATTTCATATAGTAATATAATTAGGAGTTCTATATAAATAAAATAACGAAATAGAAAACGCACTCCAAGACTACAACGAGGCCATTAAATTGAATCCAGAAAATTCTATTGCGTTAATGAATCGAGGTATTACATTAAGTAATATAATTAGGAGTTCTATATAAAAAAATTGGAGAAAATGAAAAAGCACTCCAAGATTACAATAAGGCCCTCGAATTTAATCCAAATTATGCTACTGCATATATGAACCGAGGTATATCATCTAGTAATATATGAGGAATTCTACATAAACAAAAAGGGGAAATAGGCCAAGCACTCAAAGACTACAATGATGCCATCAGATTGAATCCAAATTATGCTTCAGCGTATGTAAACCGAGGTAAATCTTATAGTAATATAATTAGGAGCTCTATATCAATAAAAAGGAGAAATATAAAACGCACTCCAAGACTACAACGAGGCCATTAAATTGAATCCGAATTACGAAACTGCATATATAAAAATTGGTACATAATCAAGTAATATAATCAGAAGATGTATTTAAACACCTAGAAGAAGAAGCAGCCAAAAAGATAAATACTCTAATTTATGCTACTGCATATATGAATCGAGGTATCACATATAGTAATATCATTAGGAGTTCTATATAAAAAAAACAAATAAAATATCAAAGCATTAGACGATTTTAACATGGCCATCAAATTGAATAACAATTATGCTGATGCGTATATGAATCGAGGTATCTCATATTGTAATAAAATTAGGAAATCATTTTTTTTAAAACTCCAAAATGATATAGGCACTAAAGGACTATGAATATGCTCTCAAATTGGAACCAGATTAACCACTTTATCTTACTAATTTAGCAAGCTACTATTTAAAATAATTGTAACATGATATAGCACAAACTTATATCATAAAAGCAGAAGAAACTTTAGATAAGTTTAAAACTCAATAATAATAATAATAGAAATGGAATTTATCTAATTCAAATCTTAAATATATTAAAAAAGAACTTTACCTCCTTAAACAAATTCAAATTCAGAATGAAACAGCAAAAAATTAATTTAAATATTTATCTGATTAATTAAAACAAAAGTTACCTGAGTCTATTTAAATATTGTATAAAAAAGTACAAGAAAATTTAAATAAAATATATTAGCCAATAAATATCTAATTAGATTAAAATTTTCTATAAGATTAAATTATCAATTTAATAAAAGAAGTGAATGCTCTTATTTAAGAAATGAATAAAATTAAAGAAGAAAATAAAGAGACCAAATAGACAATCTAAAATCTTTAGAATTTAGAAGTTAATTAAATTTCTTAATAATTAAAAGAATTAAATGAAAATTAAAACATGTATTATAATTCTTTGTATTGGAATTTAAAATATTATTTAGATTCAATGAATTTGATTTCCACTGATCTCTTTTAAAATAATCATGATGCAATAATCGAAAGTAATTCCGAAAAAGCTGTATCAAATGCTCATCAAGTATTTAATAAATTAACATCGTTCGCCGACTCGATACCTATTATTGGGAATGTTTTCAAGATCTTTAATTCGGGTCTTGATTTTGTTTTTCAACATTATAAAGAGGATAAATTTAAAACAAGATTAGAAAAACTTAATAGTATTATATAAGCTGGTTCTATCGGTGCTGAAAAAATAGAAAATGAGATATAATTTGCAAGCATTGAATTAAGTAAAAATATAGAAGCAAATTTGTCTGATAAATAATAATAAACATAATTTAGAAAAATTTTATAGTAATCGTTGAAAGAAGAAAAATAAGACTTTAGAAATAATGAGTACTGGATAGCAGGTCTTACGGATGCATTTATCATTTTAAAAAATTTGGAAAAAAATAGAGATAATATAATATAAAATTTAAGATAAGTAAAGTTAAGGTAGATAATTATTCAATAAGCAAAAGAATAAATAGGGGGATAAAATGAAAAGAATTAAAGAGCAAATGATTAGAAATGTCCATGTCCTTATTGTATTGTTTAATGAACAAAATAAATAGATATTAAAAATTAAAATTATTAATATATGTAAATGAATATATCCCTCCCTTTTGTTAGACTTCTAAAGATCAATTCTATAAATATATCTTTAAAATTATTCTTAACTTATATAAAACATAATTATTTACAATAATTTGAAAGGTCTTGAAAAATATGACTATTACATTAAATATAATTCTCTTTATTAATATTTAGTATAAATTTAAAAAATAGGATTTTTTATAATCAATTAAAGCATCAAAAGGAATTAAATTATTAAGAATTTATTGATTTCAGTTTTATCTTCATATCTTTGTTTTTTTATATAATCCTTTTGAATCATAGCTCTTCTTTTTAAATTTATAGGAAAATATGAAATGAATAATAAATCTTCAAGATATAATTATGTTTTAATTTATCTTAAATTAATTAATATTCTGGATGAATTTTGGAAATTTAGAAATTATTTAATATCTATTTTGGTTTATAAAGAAGATCCTTAATCAAATATATAGTAAATCTAAACATGATTTCAATTTTACTTTAAGATAAATACAATTACTAAATTGTATTGAAAATTTTTTTTGTCTTAATTTATGATAGTGGAAGGAATTTGGTAATTTAATGATATTTTTGATATATTGTCTTCAATTATAATTGGCACTATTGTAAATCTTTAAAATTAAGTTTAAAATTCAAAAATGATAAAAATATTTATATATAATTAGGAATAATAGACAAGGGCTATTATAATCATTCTTATGAAAATTGTAACATCTTAATAAATATTTATTTTCGAGAAAATTCTTTTATTTAACTGAATTATGTAGCTCAATAGTTTAAGTGCAATTAAATTTAATATTAACTACGAGAATATTAGCGTTAAACTTTAAATTTTTTATTTTTAGTAGTTAATCATTGGAATTAGTTAAAGATCATATATTATTCTCTACCCAAATAATTGGTAAAGGTTTTACAATTTGTTTAAAGTATTTTACATCATATTCTAGCAATACAAAAGGTTCATTTGTTATAAAACTACAATTTTTACAATACCTTATCAAAGGAATCGTATCATAGCCCATTCTCAAAGGCTAAACTTTATAAGTCTTAAATTCATACTAGCATCTTTAGTTATTGATGAATTTCATAAATATAAGCTACAGGGTGGTTATTACTCACTAATATTTTCCTATAATTAACATCTAACATAAACTGGAAATGTATAAGGTGTAGTTGTTATTATCTAACACACCATTCAATTAGGCAATTCATATTATTTAGAATGAAACTTTTAGCAGTCAATTGTAATTATGAATCCAAAGGTCTTATAGTACACCATGTAATGTATATAGAATTGAGATATTCCTCTTCTTCAATTTCATTTGGGACATCAATCCTCAAAGGATACACCTTGGGAAATTAAGATGAAATTTGATATTAGGAAGAATCTTGATAGAGAGCATTTTCTAATTTAGAAAGAATATCTTTATAATAATATTCAAGACTATTTAATTTTTCTTATATTGCAGATAAATTCATTTTTTCTTTTTTTTCTTAATCATGGTTCTCCTGATTATAGACTATTTGGTTGATTAAATCAACCATTGGTTTGACTTGAATATTTTAACATTCCCCATATACCTCTTTCCATATTTATTTACTATGGTTTTAAATAATCTTAATGAGTCAGGAAGTCTTAAACTAGTTATAATCATAGTTATAGAAGATATTTATATACTACTATTTATTTAATTAAGTAGTAGCTAGTTTTTCTTACAACAAGGATTATTATTCTTAAGCCATTTCATCTTATAATACTCCCATTACCTAAGGGTGTA